TATATATATGTAATAGAAAGCTTGACAACAAGTATTATAACAAAAGAAAGAAAAAAAAACAAAAAAAAAATGGAAAAAAAATAACCACAAAAATAAGAAAGAAGAAAAAATCATTTTGCATAATATGCTTTTCTCTGCCCATATAATTAATACATATTATCTTCATATATATACACATATATATATATTTCCTTCTATTATTATTCATTTAATATAATCATATATTTAGGTATGATTGACACAATGCTGGGCACAAAACCGAATTCTCGTATCTTAGCTTAGAAACATAAAAAAAAAAAAAAAGATTTAACAACAATAACAAAAGATACAATTCCCAAAAACAAACGACGAAAATCCCTCGTAAATCCATTTCCCGTAAACCTCAACCCTTAGCCGCCGCCGCCACCCTCTCACCCCTCTCCCCCTCCCCCTTCCCCTTCCCCGATCACCCTACATCATGCTCGTACATCCAATAGTATGCTAACTTAAAACTTATATTGCGCGAACAAGTTTTACTACTGCCTATTGCAGTATGCGTAATTAAACGTAAAAAAAAAGGAATAAAAACAACAGATAATTTTTGTATTATATTACAATTATTATTGATTATTGATTATATTATTATTAATATTATTGATTATTATTGATTATTAATTATATGATTATTATTATTATTATTATTATTATTATTATTATTATTATCGTTATTATTACAATTTAACAGAGTAATTACATTCACGTGTAATAAAAGGATACAAGAAAGAAAATATGAAGTGAGAAATCTAATTTAATGTGTGCGAGAGAGAGAGAGAGAGAGAGAGAGAGAAAGAACGCGAGCGAGCGAGAGCGAGAGAGAGAAAGAGAGAGAGAGAGAACGCGAGTGAGAGAGAAAGAGAATATAAGTAAAATAAAAAAAAAAAAATGTATGATTTGTGTGAATTGTTCAATATTAATAACACATTCGGAATTTTGTGATAAACGAATATATAAGGAACATAAAAAAAAAAAAAAAAACGAAAAGTTAATGAAGCTAATAAGTTGCATTACAAAGCCATTATGCAAATGAGTATCAGTAACAAACATACACACATACACGAAACTTTTCGGATTATATATATATATATATATATAAATATATATAAACATAGAGAGAAGAAGAAGAAGAAGAAGAAGAAGAAGAAGAAGAAGAAAAAAAATGGAAGAAAGGAAAATGAGAGAAAACAAAAAGAAAACGTGTGCCGATTATAAAAATGAAAGCCCAGGTGTGTACCGTGACAATTGTCGACGAGTAACAACACAAACATATTGTTATTATTGTAAATGTGTCATATACATACATATAATAGCATGCGTAAAAGAAAAAAGAGAAAAAAAAAAATTAACAACTACAAATGGAAAAAAAAAAACAATGCAACAATACAAGCGTATAATACGTAACCACACACACACTGTGACATGTAAGAAATGCGCGCGTACGCGCACACGTTATAAAAAAAAAAATAAAATAAAATAAAAACAGAAATACGTTAAGTACACAATACACATATACATACACATATACATATACACACAGGTAACATTAATGAATGAGAAAAATAAAATGGAGAACCTTCGATATTTCCATACCGATCACGGCGAGGTGGAATGTCGTCTTTCGCCGTGGGGGGCGAAGGGGAGATAGCTACGTTCAAAGTGCCTCCCTTGAGAGACTAAGGATAAAACAAAATAATTAAAGGAGAATTAAAAAAAAAAAAAAAAAAAACAAGAAAAAAGAAAAAAAATGGTGGAAGAAAGATTGAAAGGTGGAAGGAAGACATAAAGAAAAAAAAAGAAAGAATGCAGAAGAAAATAATAATAATATTAATAATATTAATAATAATAATTAATAATAATTAATAATAATATATATATATATAATAATAATAATAATTAATAATAATAAAAATAATAATTAATAATGATAAATAATAATTAATAATTAATAATAAATAATAAATAATAATAATAATAATAATAATAAAACAAAAAACAAACAAAAACCAAAATGTATTTCGTATGTATGTATGATGTAATAATAATTGCAACAACGGTTGACACATTGTCACTGAATTTACGAGAAATATACGGAATGTGTATATAATTTCATTTGGATCTTCATTCAATAGGGGTTGTTGTTGCATCACAATGCGTTCGAATTTAAAAA